TACAGTTGTCAGAGGTGGTAAAAGGCACATGTACTTGAAATAAACGCATATCCCCATCCAAAACCTGCCTGAGGGGAAACATCCCGCCTCCCAGTTTGTAAAAGCTCCCACTCCGGAATTGTGCTATCTGGAAGAGGAGGCTAGATTCCAAGAGGAGGATGAGGAAGCCCCTGACACATTAGTTGGGGAGGTCCCTGGCATTTTAGTTGGGTTTTATCTGCCAAGTCAGGTGGTTATGTGGGAGGGGATATCCCCGATAATCTGTTAGAATGACAGCCTCCCTCTCTCCACTCTCTTCTTTCCTGGGTTTCATGGGGTGAAGGGAGTTTTTCTCATCCACAAGGCTCTCTAGGATTGGCAGCACTTTCTCCAGTGGCTTAGCTGGAGATCCAGGTGGTCTGACCTTGAGAGCGTAAAATCCACACTTTATATATAGGTCCCTATTCTGGTAAAGGGCCATAAAACATTGGACACGTGATATCTCATCCCTTTTGTCTTGCCTCTTATGGAAAATATCCAGCTGAAGAATGACATGGTAATTAACTGAGCTGTCCCTCTGCCATTGTTCCTGGCTACCTAGGACACACTGTGGCCAGGCTGTGTTACAAAAGAAAATCATCTTCTTTTTAGTTATTGGAGAATACCCAAAAATCTTCTAGTGTTGGATAATGTACCCTAATAGGCTTTGTCTGAATACCCCCAAATCTTCTAGTGTTTAGAGAATAAACCCTAATGGGCTTTGCTCTGATACAGAGGTCAGGTTCCCCATACCCTTGAGTTCTTATTTAGGGTTCGATCCTAGCTTCTCAAAGTTTAAATAACAAGTTAGCAGCTATACAGATGTGAAATGACTGATTTTTCCTCTCAAATAATGACAGACCCCTCTAACACACATAACAAAAGTAAGTCAATGTGTGAGGGTGACCCGGCGGGTCCCTAGCACAGCCCCGTGTGCTTCCTGAAAAATCTCATCAGGCTGTCCAGTGACCCTCCTAGGCATCAGGCAAAGTGGCTTCCCCTTCTTTTAAAATCTGCTACCTGAAGAGAACATACCCGAGTGAATCAGGAAAGTATCAGTGTGGGCCCCCTCTCCTAAGCTGAAGTTTTCCCAGTCTAGCTGTCAAAGTCAAGGGCTTCCAGCCTCCACAGGTCCCTTTCTGCTTTGGGAGATGCATCCCCTCTGATGACCTTAAAGCTATCTCAGGAAAAATTGATCTCACAGTTCATTTCACTGTTGGCTAGCCAGGTCTAGATTGCTGTTTACTGTGATGGGAGTTTCTTTCAATCCCCGAGGGCACAAACCAGAAAAAGACAGAAAGTCAAACAGAGGTACACTGCCCTTACTCTAGAGATCCCACTGCTAGATCCAAAGAATTCACACTTTTAGTCAACTTTTAGTGGTGTGAGGTCCACTTCCTGCACTGAAGGATCACAGAACAAAAAGGTTCAGGCGGCCACTTACACTCTTTTGAGGTAGGCCCAAGTGACAGCCTGGTGGGCTTGTCACCACGTGAAAGATCCTCCTGTATCATACCCACCCCTCTCAGGCAATGTGAGCAAGTTAGCCTGGGTAAGCTGCCACTACCGACCACTTCACCTACTGGGAGGCTTTGAGGAGTTAGGATCAGAACCAGGGTCTTGAGCCCGTCTGGGTCACCAGGATTGTTACTCACACAATAGGTGGGCTTTATCACTTGAGGGTTGACAGTCCAATGACCAAGGTGGATTTAACTAGGGGATTTGATTACTTGCAACAAGTAAAGAGAACACTGAGGATAGTTCCCAAAGCAGTGGCTCCCAAACATCATTGAAAACAGGGCTTTTATTGGGTTGGTTAGCTGAGTCATTCTGTGTAGAGATGGAGTACAGTCAGTGCAGGCTCAGTTGCGGATCATGCAGAAGCATGTACGGAAAATGACAAATAAGCTCCTCCTGGGGTGGGGATTTTAGTATGGTAATGAGAGGAGTTCAGCAAAATTCATCTCCAACTCAGGCATCTCTAGATCCAGTTTTTGTTTTTCTGGGGCCGAGCTTCTCCCTGGAACTTTTTTGAAATAAGAGCTCAAGGTATAATAGTTATAAGTGGGTCCTTTTTTACAGTGCATACCCAAAAATCTGGGGACCCCGGGTTACAATCCCTGGTACCTGGGAGAAGGTGTCCAGTAAAAGCAACACCAACGGAATAATAAAATACTCTGATTCAAATGATGCATCCACAGATTGCTGAGGAATTCAACCACTCAGACGTTCCTTTCTCCTAAACTTTTCAATAAGGGCCTAGTCAATATGTTTGTGTACTATTTGAAATTTAATAAATTAGTGCAGATTATGGTTGAAAATTTGAAACCTCTTCCTGTTTCCTCTCTTGTTGGCAATCGGCCCATTATACATGTGCAAATTCGGAGGCAAAGACATATCAATTCTTTCCATGACCTGAAGTAAAAAGACCAATTGACATAACCAGCAGGATTGGTTAAGTTATAGAAAGAATAAAAATTTATAAATTTGTTCATGTAATCTCTTTATAAAGCCACTAGAATGAAATATTAAAATGAAAATACATATTACTAAAAATAAGTTTATTTACCTATCTATGAATAGATATATATGTCAGCTGAATGATAACTTGAGACTTTGAATTATTAGGTTGGTGCAAAAGTAATTTCAGTTTTCACCATTAAAAGTAATTACTTTTAATGTAGTTTCCACATTTGGGAGGCATAAATGTGCCTCTAAATCTGCACATTTATAATGGGTTGATTGTCCGCAAGAGAGGACACAGGAAGATGTTGCAAACTTTCAACCATAATCTGCCCTAACTTATTAAATTTTAAATACTACACAAACATATATTGACTAGGCTTTTACTGAAAAATTTAGGAGAAAGGAAGGTCTGAGTGAGACTGAATTAAAAATAATTACTCTTAATGGCAAAAGCTGCAATTGCTTTTGCACCAATCTAATATTACTGCAGTTTAAACAAACCTTGGAAGGTGCTCTGTGCTAATTAACCAACCTGCAAAGGTATGGCCTGACAAACCACATTTTCTCATTCAATCTGTTTTAAAAAAGAACAATTTTTATAAAGCACTATTTTTTAAATAAAAATTAAGTCCTAATCTAATTCTTTGAGAAAACAAATAATTGAGTGAAAGAATTAAGTTTGATGTAGTTGCTCAAGTTAAGTGTATAATGATTGCCTATTTACTGAAAAAAGTCAGCAAATACTAAGAAAGTATACACAACTGAGAAATAGTCACAAAAATATGGTAAAATAACTAAATAGACTAGGTAATAAATTACAACCTAAATTTCCTACACATGTTCTTTCATTTTACAGTGTAGCCACATTAAACATACACAAACTCCCAAATTGCCTTACTGTAGGATCAGTTTATACATGTCTTTAATCCAAAACAACAAAAATAACAATACAGCACACTATGTCCCTCTCTTGAAAATTCACAGTACACACTGGTACATTAAATCTACTGAGCAATCTCTGTAAATATTTTGCAAAATATTTACTGCATATTTACTGATTTCAATGAGCTCATGACATCATTTTTGTGTGTCATTAACATTCTACTATTTCATGAAATGTGCTTTGGGAAATACTCCTCTGAGTAATGATATTTATTCAGTTAAATATCATTTTTATTGAGCATCAGTATGTGCAGGAATGAGAGAATCATGGCCTCTGCCTTTCTAAACTATTATTGAGGGAGCAGGGAGACAGAGAATAAATAAATTGTTAGGTGAAAGAATTAAGTTTGATGGAGGTGCTCTGAAGAAATTTAACAGGGAAATATGCCAAAAAATAATTGAGAAGGGAAAGACCTCTCTGAGGAGAGGGACATCAGAGTGTTAGCTATTAAAAAGATAGACAGGGTACAGTCCATGCAGAGCCTTACAGGTTCATGGTGAATGTTTTGTTTATTTTGTGGCAATGGAACAAAGGGTTTTAAGCATCATGATAATGAAATCTGGTTTATATTTATGAAGCATATTCTGACTGCTTGCTATGGGGAGAATGGAAGGAAGAGAAACAAGAATAGAAAAAGGGAAGCTGAACGTTACTGAAATTGTTGATTGAGATATGAGAATGGTACAAGCCAGAGTGGTGACGGTAGAGAGAGAGAAGAATGAATAAATCAAAATGCATTTTGGAGGTAAAACTGCTAACAGGATTTGCTAGGGGATTTCATGTGGAGACTGATGGAATAAGGAGAATCAAGTATGACTCCTTAAATTTCTGGATTTGAATTGTTGGATGAATAGTGATGTCATTTACTGTATTAATGAAAAGTGGAAGAGGAATAGATTCAGTGAGGAAAAAGTCAATTCTTTTTAATGTTACATTCAAGATTTTTTTTTTTAGTATTGTATTTTATTAAATATATTTATATGCCACAAAAATTATTTTAGTGACAACTACCAGGAAAGTACAAAATCACTTAATAACTGGTTTTCTACACCTTGATTTGTCAAGAAACTCATAGGCAAATGGAAAGTAATAAGTACTGACTGCCATTACTTACTACAGTGAACAGTTTTGAGAACAAGAAGAAAACCTGTAACACTGAAAATTGCTTTATATCCCATTCACAGAACTCTTTAAAAGGTCTACTTTAAAAATAAATCACATAAACAATTGTTCAGACTTGTTTGATGATGCCTCAACTTCAGAACATTTGCAAGGAAATCACATGTAAAAGCAATTATCTCAATACAATTAAATCCTATTAAAGAAAAAAGTTTCCTTTAAGCATCAGAATCTCCTGAGGGAAGCTTGTTAAAATACAGAATGCTGGCCTCCTCCCCAGAGTTTGCTACAAGTTTGCAGGCCATTCTGATGTTGGTGTGGGCACAACACTTTGAGAACCATCACTTCATGATCTAGTCTCTAGAATTCAAACTAATAAGCAATGCTCATATGCCTTTGCTTTTTCTAATAGTAAATAAATAGAACATTTCAGGTAGCTGCATCAAACTTTAAGCCTTTAGACTCTTGAAATGTTACCTTGGCTCACATAACTGTGGGTTCAAAAGACAGAACTAAAGGACAGTCCTGAATAATCTATGACTACATGAAAACATTTATTTACATGCCCTCTACAAAATGTATTTAGAAAACATAGTAACTATTAGGTACACGACCGTGCTCCTATTTTCCCCATTGTTCTTCCTCCTTATAGAAAATTCAACATGAAATTATAAAGAGTACTGTACTCAGAATAAGAACTTCATCTGTCATAAATGTACACATAAATATCAGTGAATTGTCATACTCAAAACTCAGACTCAGGAACTTCTTCATCAGGGCAGCAGTAATATTCCACAAAACGTATTTGTCCATCTTCATTTCTAATCATATACTGTAATGAAAGGAAGTCTCTGTTATCTGTCCGAATAGATACCTTACAAGATAGGACGAATGCCTTTGTAGAGGGTTTCAGTAAAGAAATCTTGTATCTGTTGACTTGGGTTTGATTACAATGAAATGCTTCCATCAAATCAGAATCTTTGGGATAGTCAAGGTGGGAACTTCCTGCATTTCCAAAAGTAGATAACCTGAAATAAGGCTTGTCAGGAGACATTGTAATTTGTAGGACTTCACTCGTCATATCCAGTTCAGAAAATGCTTCACGGAGCCCCTCTGACTGTAGAATAATTTTATTAATAACATTGGTGCTGCAGAAATCAGAATCCAAGGTCTCCTCAGGTTCCTGAGTATTGATTTTGCAGACTGTTACCACTCCTCCTTCTTCCAGAAACAGCCTCAAAGGGTAACCATAACCTTGGTAACACATCCGAAGTGCAGTTAAAGTCCCTGAGTAAAAGCATTTGCTTGCACACACTTTGCATTTTTCTACTGTTACTTTGATACCATTTTTAGTTGTGAAACACGTGGCATGCTCTCAGAAAAGAATAGCCGTCCACTGCGCATTCGGCCCGGAGGGAAATGCTCCTGAGGCCAACAACTGCCCCGCGGATCGCGAAACACCTTTGCGGTGGGTCTGGACGTGGGAGAGACCTTCCCAGGAAAGTCCCTGAGGAGGAGCTAGAGGGCTCCGAGAAATCGCGGAGGAAGTGGAGCCGGTGTCAAGATGTTTTTTAGACAGCCAAGTGGAGATGTCAAGTAAATAGTAGATGATTCAAAATACAGAGAAAATGTTTGACTTGGGATATACATTTCTAAGTTATTAGCACATAACATATAACACCAATGATTTAAGAAATTCATATAGTGTCAGACATCTTTCTGGGTTATTTGATGCTGTAGGATTTGTGCCTTTCAATGTCTTTGAGCTATTTAACAACTACAAATGTAATAGATAACTAATAGCAATAATTCTTGTCTAGGGATATGCAAATTAATTTTGTCAGATGGAAAGACAATTGAGTCTCTCATGCTCCAAATCAGTTTTGTATACATTTCTATATTTTGATCCTCCTATTACCAAATAGTCTTTTATCTTTTTCATAGTATTTATTCCTCTTTGAAATAATCTTGCTTATTTAATGGTTTGATGATGTATTTCCTGCTTCCTCTAACTAGAAGGTGAGGTCTAGAGAGTCAGAGTCATTACTTGTGTTTAGTTCACTATTGCAAACCAAGCAGATAAAAATGCCTGATATTAAAGTAAAATCTCAATAAGCCTTTTTTTTAACATAATCTAATGATGGCATTTTTATTGCCTCTTGGAAAACAATCTTCAAAGAAAAAGAAGAGAACAAGAACATAGTCTAGTTGTTATGCACATGGACCTGGCTCTGCCCCTGACAATACATGTGACTTTCTGCAAGATACTTAACATCTCTGTACCTTAGTTTTCTCATTCATACAATGAAGATAATAATTATACTCACCTCATTAGATTGTTATGAAAATTAAAAGTTGCAGTTTTTAAGTGCCTAGAAAAGTTCTTTATATCTAGTAAGTACTATATGTGTTTGTTGGATAAATAACAACAGAGTGGAAAACTCAAATTATATTTCAACGTTTTATGTATCTTTCCTTTTCAGTTTCAGTTCTTCCCTACCTGACAAGTTCTTTCAATGAAGAAGTATACAGTTGGGTCAAAGTACTTAGTCAATTTCTTTTATTTTAAATTTCCTGTTTCTTTATTTTATGCTCACATCTGTCATTATTCAAAGCAATTTTGAGGTGCAGTGTTTGGAGAGAGGGGAATGCATCCTTCATTTTGTGAGATATGTGTTCTCTAAATTATTTATAATGTTTATTGATCAACCAACATTCCTTAGGTAGCTAGGACTCACATTTAATATTTTGTAGATGGAGTGTTTTACTTATTTATTTATTTTTTTAACTGGAGGAAGTTTTATTTTCAGGATTTTATTACATCTTGTCATTCTCTGAAGAGTAGTTTAAATTCTTTCTCTGCACATGACATTTTTCTAAAGAATTTTGCACTGGAGGAGCTTAGATTTTGTACTGTTGTGAACATCCTTGTCAAATCCTTTTTCATGACATTTCAGGTCTTGGAAAGCAGTGTTCAAAAACATATCAAACATTTGAGAAGATGTTGACATCCTTAAATGAGTCAAAACAACTTCCTCCTGTTTTTCCATAGTTATGTTATCTCTTCTGGGTTTAAAAAACAAAAAAATAGCCTAGGGCGGGCTCTGGGCAAAAGAGTTAAGTTCAAAACCTCAGCCTTCCTTTTAAAACTCTTCAAATTTTATGCCTTCTCTATCTTTTAAAAATCATCTCTAATTACATTTTTCATGCAACTGCTTTTTCTTTTTTTTCAGTTTTATTGACTTACCAAGCTTTTTTTCTTTTACAATTCTGATTTCTTTTTCTTGCCTCTGGCTTTTTGCTCAAGCTGTTTCCTCTACCTAGAATGTTCTTTTCCCCATATAAACCCAATACAAATATTTCTGAATCCCACTCAAATTTCACACTCTCCAAGATGCCTGTCGAGATACAACCAGGAATTTTATATGCCTCTCTTTCTTCTCTATATCATGTTTGTAACTCTATCAAGGTTTTGCCATTTGCCTTAAATCAAAATTTCTCCATTTATTTATCTGTGATTATTTATTTAATTGAGTGCTCCTGGCCTCAATTTATTTTTTTCAGTTATTCTGGACTGCAGGCCGCTGTAGAATGTGTTCCCAAGGTAAGTTTTTGATACATGCCTGCTAAACATAATCATTCTGCATTGACCATGGAATCAATCTGCGTTGAAGCTGAGTTCAGATATTGCCTATACTCCTACCATAGGTAAACTAACCTCTAGTGTTCATTATATTCATCTGTAAAATGAGAATAAAACCAACTAATTATAAAACTGTTCTAGGGATGAAATGAAATCATATTGCGAAAGTAGTGTTTAATCTGATTGCTGTAATTTATCTTCTACTTTTTTCTCAAATATTTTATCTCCTTTCTGGTGTCTTCTGGGCAGCATTTGCCATGCCGAACTTTTTCTTACTTTCATATTGAGTTTCTTCCTTTCCATTGATAAATTGCTGTGTGTATTTCTTAATGTAATACGTGTCTTCATTTCTAATTTAAATGTTTTATTTAAAATTTAGAAATTCAATGATACTACCAAACATATTTGCTGATTTTAATTAATATGTAACAGCATTGTAATGATTAGGGGAGTTGCGTAATAGTTACACATGATGGTGATCAAAACAGCCGACCACAGGAATCTGCTGGTGATAACTACAGATGT